ATCGACTCTGCATCTGTGTTCTTCTGGCTAAATAAACTGTTTCAAGATCAATATACTGACTCCATCTAACGCATCGCCACAAGCTGAGGTGCGGGGAGGTAGGGGAAGGCCTCACGTTTTGCTCCTTCTATTATCTCACCCCAACATGTGTGTCTGACCTGTAATACGAGAGTTTGACTTATGGAGGCTGCCTGGGTCAACCATAATGTGAAACTAAAAACAGCGTTGTGTTTACAGCTGAAGTAAACTAATGCCATGGATAAGTTAATGTTTAGAGTAATTATGGTCCGGTAACCTTGACAACAAGTAAACAATAAGCCTTTGGGAACACAGATGCAGAGTAGCTCCAGGAACCTGTGAGCCGAGCTGTCGATTGTCTGGTGACCTAGTTGTTGTGGCTGGGCAGAGACGACTACTGCCGCAACCTTACCGTGTCCAACTTTCCTTCACTGCCGACCACAAGATCTACCAACCCCCCACCACCACCACCACCCATGGCTCTGTAGGGCCACCCGAGGCTACTCACTACCCAAGGCCGGGGCCTATGGTGCGTCAGTTACAAGTGTATTAGTGTTCTGTGAGGTACAAGTGCGCCTAACGGAAGAACTAAAGTGTGTGTCTTTCATAAACTGTATGAGGTTTATTCTTCTATGGCATTTATCTCATGACAACATTACTGGGGAACCTATGTGGCGGAGATGGATAGCCAGGGATGAGAAGATCCAAATATCCTTGAAATTCTTGTTGATATAATGCCTCGCCGCCGGTCATTTAGTAATTACCACAACAATGACAGTAGATTGTATACACTGAAGTATTAAAGCTGCCATTAAAGATTTCTTCAGGACAGTAAACAACTTGTTATAGCCTGGTCTCCAGCTCTCAGAGAACCAGTTGTTTTTACCCAGAACTCGTCAGTGTTTGCGTCACACTCGGCCTATGTCAACAACAGCTGAAAGGTCTTATAATGTCGATTGTGTGTGTGACTTAAGAAACAGTTGGTATTCTTGACTACGACCTTTTTTCATGGTAGCTAATTTCGTCATATCAAACTATATATGTACGGGAGCATCTTTGATAATGTTGGGCCGGAGCCTTGAGAGCGTGTCCTAATCCTTGGAAAGATACCAAGAAGTGATCACGTGTTTACCATGAGTGAACTGAGCACTCGGCCACAAGGCGAACAAGTGTCCGGGCCGCCCTGCACCACACTCTGCTAACTAAGTGTCCAATTTGTTATAAACTGTCTTGGAGGGTTATATTTTTAGTGAAGACAAACAGCCTAATTTCTATATCACCTGTTTATCGCTCCCTACACCTCCCTCCTTGTTCAGGGTCGTGTTAAGGAGAACATGGCATGGAAGGTTAAACAATTTAGTGTTGTTGGTTAGGTACTTTACAATTTACTTTTCAGTATTGATTATTGATTCTTTAATTTATTTCGTATTTTTGCAATAATTCTTTCACCTGCTGTTTGAAATGTTGTTGATATCTATTTGGGACGATATGTGTGGGCCAGTGTTTCATAGGTTGAGTCAAGAAGCGAAAGAAATGGGTTTACTTGAATCTATTTTTTGGGGCGAGCGATCAAATGATGGTAGAGTAGAGTGTTGCGACCTTCAGTAGAGCCCATGGCAATCGAGGCCAGCCACTGTGATAACTGCGGCGACGAACCCAATTCAGATACATTAAGGCAGTGTACTGTTTGTCATGATCTTAGTAGTGGTCACTTGTGTAATGTAGACTAATAATAGAACAAGACCACAGCGTCGGTCCCTTGAACACAGGATCATTGTTGGTGTGATCCCCTAATACTGTCGCGGGTCACTACCTAAATAATTAATGACATTTACCAGTCAGACACCAACACCAGCAGTATGGTGGGCCTACCTGGTATGACAGCGTGAAGGTGTAGACCATATTGTTGACTTGCACTGAACCCTTCCACACACAGGTAACACTTAGGCTATTTAAGTATAACGCGCGGTCTTTAATCCTTTATAATAATTTGTCGTATATGAATGTAAATTTCATTAATATATTTATGAAGTGAGTGGGTTTTGGGGAGCTCATTACGTCCCCAAGCCCATCTGGGAGCCATTAGGGAGGGGCGAGGGTTGAGACGTGAGGGGTGTACAGGAGAGACGCTGCCATGTGTATGTTTGTGTCCCCGCCTGGAGGACTGAGAGGATAAGATAACACGCTGTTATACGGAGCTCCTGTAAAACTATTATTAGGATTGTGTCACTAGTAGCTGTAGCCTTGTACTTTGTGAGCAACTACTTGGTGTGTGAAAAATTAAGTTAAACATTGGTCGCTACTGTGTTATCCACGCCTGGTTACCGCCTGGGTAGTAACACTTGTTGTCAAACCACCACGAATTGTACACCGGCTTGTTATATAATGACATTAATCCTGTGTAATGTATTATTTAAAATCTTAGTCTCGTTTCACTTACGTTATAACCTGTAGAATTAGAGCTGTATTGCAGGGGTGGGCAGCCGAGGAGGTAGAGTGCTCGTCCTAAGTATCGCTGTTCTGTGCTCAGGAGACCCCTAGTTTACCCAGCTGTAATGGGGACTGTACCTAACTTATAGATGGGGAGAGTGAAGGCGGGTGAGTAGAGTGGTGGTCACACACCCTCTTTGTGTACCAAAAGGGTCAAATGAGCTCTGGACCCCGAGCTGCTCCACTCTACCATGTCTTGCAGGTTTTTAGGCTCCCACGCCCTTAATGCATGAGTCATAAAGGCAAGCATGAACTTAGCATGCTTCCCAGTTGGGCACTGTAAACGCTTCTACGCTTCACCTTGCACAGGATGTAAGGGGGTGCCCAATAAACTAGCCCCCTCCGGGGCAATCTGTAATCTGTCTTGAAGTAAACAATCAGATAATGTTTATTTTATGACACGTATTAGGAATAGCAAGGAATACTTAGTGCAAATGTGCTGAGTAACAAGTTAACTAGTAACTCCTCTCGTGAATAAATTAATATTTTCCCAGTGAATTATATGAGAAAAGTAGTAGTTAGTAATTTTTAGATACCAGATATAGGAAGACTAGTTATGACATCAACAGAATATAGAGCGAGTCATGACAAAAGGCCAATCCTGCGCCAGGTACTGTACTGTATAGTCTAAATGCACAAGAATTTAAAGGAATAAGTGACAAAATAGACACAAGAATAAGAGCACCTAAGTCACATAATGAGCTTATAAGTACAGTATTACCTAAGTAAGGCTGAAAAGGTCATTCTGTTGAAAGAGGTAAAATACACAAAGATCACTTGGCCATAATGTAGCAACACTAGATATAGACGGGCGCCGGAGACAGTCCGAGGAACTCCACACACAGGCTGTTGGAGGGAGAGCAGAGAGTAACTGAGGGAGTGAGTGCTCGAGAAGTGTGACGGGTGAAGAAGGAAGGTTCAGTGGAAGGGTAAAGGATGGATGGAAGGGGGTTATTGGAGTAGAAAAGGCGCCGTGGATTGTGACATCACACACTGGAAATGCGATTTTTGTTGATAGGTGATGCCTTCTCTCGCCTGAGCTGGTGTTACGTGTGTCGGCAGTGTTTTCCCAGCAATATGCGATGGTGAGACGTGACATTCAATATACTTTACAAAATACACTGGAGGTTTACTTATTAGTATGATGGTCAGTTGAGAATTTGTTTACCATAAACAGGCTCTTCACTTGGTCAAGACTCGCAGCATCACAGTTGCCAGCTCGTCCGCCACACTACAGTAGTGTGGCCAAGTGTGACGTGCTGAAGGTGGCACACTTCCGCTAAAGGCATCATGTACAGTAGTACCGTACGTGTCCTATGATGGCGGTGATACCGTCAAGGATTTACTTCAACTGAGGTGAAAGTGTGTGTAGGGGAGAAGAGTAAGACTTGTATCTCCCGCCTTTTGGTTTGTTAGTTTAATGAAGAAACTGTCCCTAGACTGAAGACTGAGGCAGGAGTTGGCAACGGTAACTCAGTTCCCGACAAAGGGAGATATTTCTGAAAGACACCAGAATTAAACACTAATATACAGTAACAAATGGTTACTAAACATGATGAACTTTGTTGTATCAGGATGGACTACAATTCTAAAGTTAGGCCTGGAGCTGGGGTAAGTGAGGGCCTGGGGTGGAGTATGGGTCGGCTCGGGTTATTATGATGTGTTCCTCTGTAAACAAAACTCGACGATGAATCCAAATGTTTCCTTCTTCGTCGTTTACGGTCGGCTGGCAACAAGGAGTTAATGTCGTCATAATGGCTGAGTGATCAAGGCCAAGCTTGTGAGGCTGAATTAACACCAAGGCCAAGTAGCGAGGTTCTTATTAATAATCTTATTTATACCGACGAAAATGCCTCTAACTCTGACTACAATAATATATTTTGTGTGTGTGTGTGGGGGTGTCAGTCACTTTATTTCTAAGGTGAATAACTACATTTATAATAGATAAAATATACAAATGGTCAGATAATATAAAACTAAAAAAAAAAATCTTATTTATTGAGGATTGAAGCGGTATACAGTACATACATTATTAAGGGGAGGTCTCACCTTACACCGGGTCTTATAGTGGTGCTGTACATAATACTTTCCTTGATGGTTTTAAACAAGAGAATCACCACCAATATGGTTCACGGTACAGAAACTCTCAAACTTCATTATTAAACGCGTGAGAGAGGCCCTGCGCTGCTCGGTGGGTGTACAGTATCGGCCGCTCACGTTACACCAAATGGCCGTCATACAAGAACGTGATCGGCTGTAAATCGAGTTCCTATTTCTGTGAAGTATTTACATGAATCACCATGAACAACGTGTTGACCAAACCTGACTTTCCTGCCGCAATTATTATGTGGGAAGTTGTAAGGCTTTGTTATGTTCCTCCACACATACTGTGCATGTTTCATTATGCCACTTAACTTCATACTGTTTAAACTACTAAAATAAACTGTGTTAATATTCCTGCTGCAGTGATTACCTTTCTCCCACCTGGTCAGGTTCTTCCTGTGTGAGGCGCTGTGTCTGGTGGTGGTGGTGGGCAACATATACTTCACTGACCTCTTCCTCGACGGCACCTTCATGAAGTACGGCACCGAGGTCATCAACTTCCCTGATATGGATCCCGAGAAGCGCGTCGACCCCATGACTCGCATCTTCCCCCGCGTCACCAAGTGCACCTTCAGGTGAGTCTCCATACACCCTTGTGTTAGTGTTCTCTTCCTGTTAATATACAGAGTTGGGCTCTATGTACGCAGGTGTAGGTGTGATACAATTACTTCACGGTGTTGACGGGTGGACACCATTACTACAATAGCCGTGCCACAGTGTATTAATCAAAGGCAGATGGACAGAAGAGGCAATGAGACCCAGTCATTCAGGGACAGACAGACGAACGGGTCTGATTACACCACATCAGACGAGGTACATTGTGAAGCATTTCATTTGATTTCATTTAGATACACACAACAGTACACAATTTACAGGCAAGTAAATATACTAGTACTATGTTAAAGGTTCTTAAGAGATGACAGTACACAGACGGTACAGGGTCAGTGTACGTCACCATACACAGAGTGCGTCGGGGGACACAATGATGTAACTCACTGAACCACACACCACCTGTCCGTCTCTTTACTGTCAGTTCTTTGGTGAGGACAACACTGACACTTTAATATTACGTTACATGAGTTAAGGTTTACTTGTTACAGATAAGTTGATGCTTCACCGTTGGAGTAGTTAAAGGGTGTGTTGTGTTTACCTGTTGGAGTAGAAGACATTGGGATCAATTAGTGATAGACAAACTAGAAGGTAAAATTCAGCGCTGGAGAAATACATCACACCTGCAGTGTTACTACAGTACATGATGCTGACAGTACTCCTCCCTCGGGATAGGGGAAGGCAGGGAGGATAGAAGAGAAGGGACTGGAAAAATAAGAAGAGAGGGTTTGGTGCACAGAACAATAGAAGGTTTGGAGCATAGAAGAAGAGAAAGGTTGAGAGGTGAGTGTTTAGAGGAGGGTGTTGCCAGGACGAGGCCGCGTGTGCAAAAACCATGGCAGGTTGTTTGACCGGGCCGGCACGTGGCCAGTCTTTTTGTGTCACCCTCCCCATCCCACATTTTGAATCGACCATCTCCCCTCCCCATGAACGTCCGCTCCCGATTTTCATCATGGGTGGCCTTTTCACTATCCCCGATCACTTGCCAGACGTGGTGTGGTGTGGTGTTAAAAGATACGAGGTTTGCTCTCGTTCATTTCATCATCGTCATCGATTTACTGGTCTTAGGACAGCCTCACCTAACCTGTCTTGGCTCAAAATAACATAACCCATTTAATAACTGAACGTGACTTAGAGATATGTAAGCCTAAACTAATTGATTGTATATTTTGCATCTGGCAGCGGCTAGTTTATTGTATACCCCATCGAACGGTAGCTTAGTGTCAAGGATTACGGAGCAGAGATTGCAAAGGCTCTTTATTAGACCCAGGTAGTCAGGTTGCTGTGGTATTGAATATTACACAGTGTTTCCAATAGTGCCAAAGCCTTTGAATGCTGGTTGACTTCTCTCTGTAAAGTGTAAACACAGTCTTGAGATATCAGTTAGTGTACCAGTAGCAAGAAAGTGCTATACCATTACACACACACACACACACACACAGCGGGAATTGTGTGATTCTCAGAGGTTTGTCCTTGTAACCAGTTTACTGAGGGAGGTTTGTTGGCGCCATGACGGATTATCTTCAATAAGTTCTTCAGCGCCATCTTCAGGTCAAGGACGATGGACCACAACAACCAACGCTACAGTCCCCTCTGTGTAATAGTTAATCACACATTGTATAGTTCCTCTCCATGCCACTAACTGACCTCGTGTGTGCGCCTTACAGGAAGTTCGGGTCGTCTGGCACGTTAGAGACTCACGACACCATGTGTGTGTTGGCCGTGAACATCATCAACGAGAAGATCTACATCTTCATCTGGTTCTGGCTGGTCTTCCTCACAGCCATCACCGCCGCCTGGCTCATCTACCGCCTCATCATCATCGCTTCATCTGAGGTCCGCTTCAAGCTCCTGCAGGTGGGTGGTGGTGCTAGTTCTTCTTGCAGGTGAGTGGTGGTTGCTAGTTGTTCCTACAGGTGGGTGGTGATGCTAGTTGTTCCTGCAGGTGGGTGATGAGTGATTGTGGTCTTTGTGTTGGAAGATGAGACGAATAGCGCTACTGCCCATACAACAGAGGCCTAGTTACACCAAGCCATATCACTCATTATCTTGTTTGAAGCTTCTTAGCAATTTCGAGTTAATAATGTTGACAATATTTGCTCACTTTTTCATCTCGTCCGAACCCAGATTTACCGAACTCCCGCCTAAAGTTAAATTTGTATATAAAACCTGTGCTACGTGTTGGCTCTTGATGTCATAGTTTAAGTACCTTAGCTATATCACATTTATTTAACCCCCAACTTCTATTTATACACTTGGATCATATCTCCCCTCACTCGACGCCTCTCAGTGGAATGTAAGTTCAGTTTTCTGTTTGTTTCTGTCTCTCTTGCCCCTCTTTCTGTCTCTGTCTCTTTAATCTCTGTCTCTATGCCTGGGGTTAACTTTGTAATTCTCTTCTGTACCGCCTCATGATCTTAACCCCTCGAGTACAGGGTACCCTCTCTACTAATTACAATTGTACGGTCAGAGCATTATTCGAGGTGTTAATTCTGTTTTTATCATTATCCCCCAAGTCTTCTTCATAATCGGATTTCTCTTGTGTCTACTCTACATTATTCAGCTGGTAGTTTATTCTCCTGTTTCCCTTCCCTAACTTAACAACTCCATTTATCTACGTTTATTTACATCTGCCATTTTTCAGTCCATTATAAAAGTTTGTTGGGTGGCCTTCTTGTAATTTTTACTGTATCTGCGTGGGGTTTAATAATAATTCGTCCTGTATGTTGTTGCCATCGCCTACATCTGTATCTTTAATATTTATAATAGTGAGGGCCCGAGCACTAAGCCATGAGGTACTCCACTCGTGACGTTACCACAGTCGGATATAACTCTGTTTCCTGTCATTCAACCACGCCCTAATCCTATTTAGAAGTTCCCCTCCAATGATGAGGGTAGGGGGTGGTGAGGGGTAGGGGGTGATGATGAGGGTAGGGGGTGATGTTGAGGGTAGGGGGTGATGTTGAGGGTAGGGGGTGATGCGGGGTGTGTTACTGATGAGGGGGGAACAATTAGTTTAGTTTAACAAATTTATTGACAAAGCTTGGAGTACAGTTTGCCTATTCTGAGTAATTCAGTCAGGTCTTGACACTGAGGGAGGTATCACTTCTCACTGCCACGCAGGACAAAGGTTCGTACACAAAGAAATGCATCATATTCATTAGCAGCATATATAGGTCAGAGTCATGTGGGTGATGTCGCTGTTCACTGCCATGCAGGACAGTGGTTCACATACATTGGACGTGATATTCTAATTGAACACTAATCAGTGTGGGCTAGCAAATTTTGGATAAACAGCTAGAATGTTCTCAAGCACCTCTGATTCAATGTAGTAATTACAAAGTTCATGATGCAATAAGCCAGGTGGCCTGAAGTCTTTGACAGTGTCACCTTCAATAATATAGTGCTCAAGTGTATGCATTAAAGGTTTATCACAAGTTTACGTGCTGAGTGTTACGGTATGGGTACAGAGCTACTAACTTGTCAGATGTGTCTGTATCCTAGCCTAATTCTGGCCACAACTATATCACATTGTCTAGTTCTGTCCTTATGCTGGCCATACCGGTACCTCTTGTCACAAAATTTGTCATATTTACTAATGCTACAACTGCCAGGTCTCTCTGCATTTCTCAGTTCTTCTAGATCAGAGTTCATGATTCTGACTTGAATGTTTTTAAGTACAGCTTTGGACGGGCCAAGGTCATGGTCAACATTTTCTTAATTATATGCCTCATTGGCGAGTCTATCAGCACAGTCATGATACCTAATTTCAATATGGGACGGAATCCACACAAATTCGATGCGAGATTTGTTCTCATTGGCAGTTATCACCTTTCTTTTAATAGCACATACAACTTTAGACATAGAACCTGATGGGCTGTTCATTGATTTCAAAGCACTTTGAGAGTCACAGAATATCATCCCACCTCCATTTTCTTAAAGGTAGGCTGTGGCTAAGTAGATTCCAGTTAGTTCAGTTTGTGTTGTGCTGACCCAGTTGTTCAGCCTTTGCTTGTTTGACACATCATCTCTTTTTCTTTATATATTACAATTGCACAGCCTGTTCTATCTGTGTTTGTCTGCACAGAACCACCAGTAAAAGCACAACTTTCACTTGATTTAATACTCTGTGTCTGTTAATAGTTTCTAGTGTGACACATCTCATCACATCGGTGTTTAACATTTGCTTACTACCAACAGGAGTGTAATTAATAGGAACTGATATATCCAGCCAAGGAGGAATGGCATTAATGGGTTCGTCTGGGGTGATTGGGACATTCAGTTTCAAGAGATCTGCAACACTTTTATGAAGCCACGCCCCAAAGAGAGTCTTTTGTGGAAGGTTAGCGAGATAGTCGGGATTACTGAGATAGAACATCAACTCTGTTTGAGCTGTAGTTTGGGGACCACTGTTCTTCAAAACGTTGACACAAAACATGGTATTAAGTAGAGCTATCCTCTCAGATAGGGAGGGCAGCCCGGGCTCTTTCCTCGTGTTTACAATTCTGGTTGATTTTGAGCATCCTAGAATGATGCGCAAATGCTTCATTTTGCACTACCTCAAAGCTGTTGAGTTGTTTAGGCGGAATAGTCACAAGAGGGAGAGTATGATAGTCAACTACAGAACGAATGAAGTGAAGATAGAAAGTACGAGCATAGGTGATGTTAATTCCATAGCCCTTGCCAACAAGGGTTCTGAGGGGTTTAATGTGCTGCATTAGTTTGTCACGAAGGTTGCCGACAAAGTTTGCATCATTCACACAAATTCCAAGATATTTATAAGAGCTACATAGTTCTAAGGGCATGCTGTTAATGTTAAAGTCAAGAGGCAGAGGGTGAGAGGACGAGGATTGAGGACCCTCGTCTTGTCAACAGATATTATGAGACCACATTCCACAGACCTCCGAGCAAATACATCCAGCAAGGCTTGGAGCCTGAGCTTGGTCTGTCATAATGCAGATATCATCAGCATAGCATATTACAGCCTCGTTTGGCTGAACTGGAATGTCAGCAATAAGCCTGTGCATCAATATATTAAAGAGCATAGGACTTAACACTCCTCCCTGAGGCTTGCCAAGTTCAAATGATCTAACTGGCATACCTGTTGGACAGATAACCTTTTATCCATGTCAGGAGGTTACCTTGGATGCCAAAATTAGTTAGTTGCTCAAGTATTATGTCTCTATTAGCTACAGCAAAGGCTGATTTAAGGTCTATGAAGGCTGTTTGTGTCTTATCTTTTGAGTGAACAAGATATTCTGCAGAGCATGTCTGTGTGCTCTGCCCAGGCATGAACCTATTCAGATTAGGGGCGAGTTTGTCTTTGACTTGAAACATGAGACGATTGAGAACAACTCTTTCAAGGACTTTACACATACGGGATGTGAGTGAAATTGGCCTGAAGTTTGGAGTTAGCTTTAGGGATTGGTACTATGTTTCCTTGAGTCCATGTCTTAGGCAGAATACCCTGTGTGAGGCTCATTTGATACAGGTCAAGCAGTGGATGGTTAGGGACCTCATTCAACAATCTCAGGGTGTTATAGGAAACTGGTCGGTAAGGCCTGGTGAGGAACAGGCTATTTCAATATTGAAACCCCTATTAATGTGTGTGGTTTTAAGATATTGCTGTATGTCAGGAGGCAGGGAAGTGATTTGTGACACACTAGACCATTGGTTTAATAGCATGTCAGCATATTCTGCAGGGCTGTGATGAAGTTGAACTGGGGTGGATGACTTGGTAATGGCTCTAATTTTGTTCCACACTTCTGCTTGAGTGTTTGTTCTATTAATCCCCTGTAAGAATTGTTCCCAATAGGTGTTTCTCACTTGGCCTTTGAGTTTACGAAGTGCTCTGTTAGCTTTGAGGAATGCCAGGAGGTTATCACTAGTTTTATTTTGCTTTTAAGTGTTGGCAAACTTTTGTACCTTCTCTCCTTCTTTGGTGAGGATGGGGTCATGTGTCCACAGAGGTGGTTTAGTGCTGCCCCCCTTCCTCCTTGACTTAACCCAGGTGGTATAATATGTGGTAATGACATTTACAAGATCACAGCAAAATTCATCCATTGACCTAGTTGTAGCCAGCATACCATCTGAGGATGTAGGTCTTGAAGTGCAGCTTAAGATTATCTGGGATGTTAATTCTGAGCTTCGGATGATGTTCACACTTGACATCTGCAACAGTGTATTCAGTGATTATTGCATAATGATCACTGACTAGGTGGTCTGAGATGACCTTAGCCTTGACATTACTGTCGACTAGGTTATACCCAATCACATAATCAAGTCTGCCCCCCCATCAGATGTGTCACTTTGTCTGTGTCGTATACAGTGATATTATGATTATTGATGTAATTCACGAACACCCTCCCATTAGAGTTACACTGGACATCACCGAGGACAGTGTGACGAGAGTTAAAGTCACCCATACACAGCATAGCATTGTTACCTGATGGCTTTGGTAACACGTCCGCCGGCAGTTCATTACACAGAACATACTGTAGATGTTATACAGCGAAAATTGACTGTTTGCTGTCTTTACTGTAAATTGTTGAAAGTGAATACTTTCATCATTGTGAGTTTTGATCCATTTACAGACCAGACCATTCTTTACTTAAGTGAGCAGGCCACTTCCTGCTCCACTATTGTATGCTGTAAACCCGACTATCCTGGGTGCAGCTTTTTGCTGGGTGTTGGACGTGTAAAGTTCTTGTAAACCAATTACATCAATGTTAGGGGTGGGGGGGGGGCAAGATTCACTGAATCACACCGTTGCGAATAAGTTATCCTTTATGGATAGAACTAAATAAAGAATTTATTTGAAATACTGTGTAACATTCAATGCCATTATATCCTGACCG